CACATAAGTATGTACTAAATCCTGCAGATCGTGATTTGTTGTTTGTGTCAGAAATGACAAGAACTCTTGCTGTTAAGGAAGTAAGTGAAAATTACTATATACATTACTAAATTGTATATCATAAATTCTTTAAATTTCATCAAATATGCAAATATGCTATTCAATATTTCTCTGTCTTGTACATAAATCATCACTTCTGTCAATAATCCTGATGTAATTTTCAATTCAAATTGTTATAATGTATTTTCTAATAATAAATTGTGCCGTAATTTTGCGGTCATTCACAGGGTATTTTTATCCTATCATATAAGGAAATGTGAATTTCAAATATGGAAAGATTACGCGTGTAGGCTGGAATGTTTTGGATTTCGGCATTCCCATGATGTACCCTTGGAAGGAAACGATGTATAGTTATTACAGGGATACTTCAAAGTATGCACTCAGATAGTAGCTGTCGCAACGACCTCCGCTGCTTGTCGGTCGAAACTTCCGCTGTACTGTCTTCATGCATACTTACAATATATGGGGTACATTTATTTTATACATTTTCATTTTCCAGATACCAACTGACAGCTGCAACACTACTTTGACTGATTACGATGAAGTTTATTTCACATGAAGAATCATCTGAAATCATAAACATCGTTTCAACATAAATGTTATTACATGTTTCATTTCGGGTTAAAACAGTTATATGCATTTAATTAGTTAATGTTTTATGTCAACACTAATTATTTTAATTGAGTTAGTTCATGATTGAGCACATTAATTAATAGTTTCTGTTACTTTACATTTTATAATTCAATATTGTATTATATGTTAACTTTGATTTATTTTTATGAATAAAAAATAATGAGGTTGTATGATTGTTTTGAGTGGTTGTTAGATGATATCTCTAAAATAAACGAAATTGTATGTATCTCTTATCGCAAGAAATCATAGACTCAAATCTCATTATAACCGTCACTACCGACAATAAGGATCAACTTTCACCAGTTTGGCGAAAATTTGATTCTTATCGCTGGTTGGCCAGACTAATCAACAGTGATGGGAATGAACACATTTTTCTGTCAAATCAAACCACATTGCACATAAAAGCATGCATTATTATTACTGTCAGAATTCAATATCAAATAAACATTTGCAAATTCTCAACAATACAAAAGGTATTTGACTCCCTCTGTGCGAAGCACAGAATGGGAGTCTTTGCAGTTAGTGTGTGTCCGTCTGTTCCACTGATATGTCAAGAACCATACATTGATTTTTGATGAAATTTAGTGCATAGATGCTCTGGGCCAATGCGCAAATTTGATCAGGTTTTAGTAAAATCCATGCATATTAATTACCTAATTTGCATAAAGATTGATACATTTTCTACTTTTCCACTGATACCAAGTACTAATCACATTTCAATAAAACTTGGTACATTGTTACTCAAGGACCTTATTAGCATAATTAGTTAATGTTCAGCTTTTCGCCTGATATCTCAGTATTAATCATCATATTTCAATGAGACTTGCGACATATATCTTCTAGGACTATGCAGAGACCTGATTAGTTTTAGGATACACAATTGTGCTTATTAATTCCCTAATTTGCATAATAAGTTAATTTTTCTGCTTGTCCATGAACCACTGATATATACAGAACCAATAATGAAACTTTTAAAGAGTACTCATCACATTTCAATGAGCCTAGGACTATGCAGAGTCTCAATTAGTTTTTGGTAAATATTTATGATTATTAATCATCTAATTAACATAATTAATTAACACTGATATCTCAATTACTGATCATCACATTTGAATACAATTTGGTATATATATGCTCTAGGACAATAGACAGGCCCGATTAATTTTGGGTTGAAATTTGTTTATATTAATTCTTTAATTAGCATAATAATTCATAATTTTAAGCACATTTCAATGGAACTTGGTACATGGATATTACATTACGTAGACCTTTGTTTTACACTCAAATCTGTTCATATTAGTTAACTGATTTAGATAATTATAGTTTTCAGCTTTTTCATCAATATCTCAAGTACAAGTAATTTTAAATTAATTTTTAATGTGTCTTCAATACTCTCAGCACACTGGAGTTCTTTCTAAGCTTTCTTTGATTTATATTGCCTCCTTTAGGAACACAATGGTGTCATTACTAGAAAAATTACAAGAAGATTTCAGTAAGAACCACAGAAGAACAGATATTGTATTAATTTTGCAAGATGAACAGCGCTTAAAGGTCCATTCCGTTGTACTGTCATTATTCTCGGATGTGTTTGCTACACAGTTTAACAACAGGTGGAGTAGAAGTCGTCAAAGTGGTGAACCTGAGCAGCATATTGAAATAGATTGCAAAACCTTTCCACCACTACTAATGGTTCTTGTCATCACCTATATGTACAATGATACTATTCCATTAGCATTAGACAATTCAGATGATCTTTTAATAATTGCCGACTTTTACAACATACAGGAGTTGCGTACAAGATGTCTTGACTATTTATCTTCACTCACTCACAGCAATGTCTTAAGGGTCCTTCCTATAGCAGATAATCACAAGTTCAGCGAGCTTAAGGAACAGTGTCTACAATTTCTTGATAGAATGGCGCCTATTATTCTTAACAATAATTTAAACATTGGCCAGTTCTGTGATTTGCCAAAACATCTTGTCATAGAAATAATTGAGCGGGATACTTTGGCAATTCATGAAGACATCGTACTTGATCTGCTTGACAAATGGGTGACACATACTTCAATAGTACACGAGGAAGACAATTTAGACATTCCATTTGCGTGGGAAGAGTTTGTTCCCCACATAAGATTTACTGAATGTTCACTTGAAACATTCACAAGAATAGTAGTGAGCCAGCAAATCCTGGATGCTAGCCTTACAAGTTTAATACAGCAATTCATCGTTTGTAAGACGCCAGTCCCACAGACGGTGCATTTTAATACACGCCCACGAAGCATAATTTCAGAAAACGCCATATGTGTACAAAGATTCCGAAAAATTTGTCAAGAAGTAAATTGGAGTTGCAATAAGTTTGAAGGTGATAGAATCTCTTTCATGGTAAATACACCGTCAGGGTCATCTGCACGATTGCATGGAGTGCAGCTATTTGGGGACCCAAACCATGCCATAACTGTCCGTGTTTCTGTATTAGATAGGCATAACATCACACTGGTTTCATCCGAAACACATAGAAAAGGTACAGAATTTGTAGTGATCTTCAAATCTGCCGTAAGGATGCAAAACAATTCACTATACACAGTTATTGTTCAAACAACTGTCGATTTAAAAACATGTTATGGTGATGATGGTATAGAAAACAAGATCCAGTATACAAAAGATGGGACGAAACTGGCTGTACGATTTATCGATTTTGAAATGGGTGAAGGAATGTCAAACGGCACCACAAAGTCAAGAGGACAGATTTCGGGTTTATTTTTCCTATGATGCAGGTGGATTTTCTTTCATAAAATAACTCTAAATATTGCTTCTTTTGCAAAAGGTCAAATTTTGAATTCGATGAAAATTTATAAACAATGTTATGTCTCATTTGTTTGATTACAAAATCAGCATTGAGTGTAGAAAAAAACACAGAAAATAATGACATTGTTTTGATAGGAATAACTCCACAACGTCAGATTCAGTGTGAAACAACTAACACAACTTAGCCAGATTGACCACCTAACCCTTAACAACCAATCAAAGAGCTGTTCATTGGGAGTTCTTTTTCCAATTTATCAAATTCTGCCTTGTACATTTGCTTCAACTCAACTGCACCGTGGTCCCTGTCTCAATTGTTTCCTGAATTGTTATCTGTTTCTCATTTATAGCTGACTTGTCATTAAGTTGAGGGGTCTTAACATACTCCCTAGTTGGTTTGCATTATCATGCTATACTACTGTAGAATACTTTATTTTCGCTTGAAATTTATTTTCGCTATTTTCGCTGAAGGGATGATTCCGTGAAAATAAAATCCAGCGAATATACTTTTTTTCCTATATTTCACATTAAACTCATCAGAAATCAGTGAAAATAAATTCCATACAAAACGCCCAAAAAGCCTTTTCAGCGAAAATTAATTCCAGCGAAAATAAAGTATTCCACAGTATATAAAAGCTTCTTGCAATTTTAGCAAAACTTCTTAGATGAAACAATGGTTGTCATGGAAAACTGTTTGAGAAGTGTTAATTGAAAATTGTTGTGAATAATAGTTTTTTGTGGTTATCTAATTTCTTCTACTGTGTATTGTATTTGCTGTAATATATACACAATTTATGATCCTTCATGTTTTTTCTTCTTCTTACGACTGTCAATTAGCTTCTCATTTGTACTGAAGTCAGTTGTAGAGCAAATTTAATTCATGTTTTTGTGATTTCAAGAATTCTCCCCAGACAATTTTAGATCAATAACAAAGCTCACTTAAGATAACAATACTTGTATTGTTATGCAAATTAACTAGGGTTACATAATTTGCCCAGGAAGACACTGAATTTTCTATATATATTTTTTTTCTTTTTTAATTGAAATCTTGCTATCACTGTTATTCTCCCACTCGTCAGCATCAAACTTTAATAATGAATATATGCATTTTGTAAATTTCTTTCTTTTCTGAATGAAATGTGCCCATCACTCTGTCTGCCACCCCTATTTTAAAATAGTACTGCTGAAACTGGACTGTACCATTATTATTGGGGGTGTTTTACTATCATCATGTAACTGCCAGTTTCTGTTTATTTTTCACTTTTAGCATTGTATTTTAACCAACATTAATATTATAATAACCATCAATTTGTACAATTTTTTTGTGTAAACTGTTTGACTAAAATGAGTTCCTTTCTAAAAAAAACAATGTGGGTTCAATCTGACATACAATGCATGTATAACATAATATGCATGTATAATACTTTGTAAAACTTCAATTTCTGATTGCCAGGTTTTAAAAATGAGATATGTGCTCGTATGAGATTTTTATCAAAATTTACTTTTTGTACTTTTTCCAGTTCAATGAGAATCGTTGATTTGAAGTGTCGGCGACAATGGGTCTCATTCGTTAAATCTGTGTCAGTCATGAGAAACTCAAAAAGAAAATTAGGTCACTCATTTTCATTCTGCAATTTCAAACTTTGGGAAATGTAAAAACAGTTATCATAAAAAGTTGTACATATCTTAGTCATTGCATTGTACATTTCAGTTATTGTGAAATTCTTTGATTTTAGCTCCAAATATTATGTCTACCATTAAATGGATTATAGTCAATAAATTCAGCATTTTAATGAAATTTGCGATTATGAGTTACATTGTACTTGGGTGTTGTGGTCTCCACTTTTCATAGCATATTTATGGGTGATATTGCCAAGGGCCTAAAACATTGCAGTCTTTTGGTTTCTACTTCCACGTCTTCATAGCATCCTAGTTTTTTTTTTTGGGGGGGGGGGGGGGGTCCAGTAAAAAAGTGTTCTGGTAGATTTGTTTTTTTAAGTCGATGTACAAATCATACATATTTTTTATTTGTCTAAAAATAAAAAAAATGTTTCCTTTTCAATCCCACCAGAAAACCCTATGCACAGTAACTGCTACATGTTGTATAACAAATGCTAAAATGGCAACCTTTTGTGTATATACAGAGATTCATTAGTCGTTGTCACTATTTGTCCCTTGTACTGATGTTTACCCAACAAGGTGATATTGGTATTCTAGATCTGGAACTGGTTACCATGGGAATGATTATATTGATCTGCCTATTGTGACATGAAAGATAAAACATACATTACGTGATTTATGTGCGACAATATCGATAGTTTACACGGTGAGGGAGTGATTAACAGACCCTAGATCGTTTTCATTGTAGGAAAGTTGTTTCAGTGTTTTACTAGCATTGCTGTTTCGAACACAGAACATTGTAAACTGATACCGTTGAGGGCGCTATGCACATACTACATGTATACGGGGGGGGGGGGGCTATACATAGAACTTGCCTAATGGGGACGTGCCCCTGAATTTGGTCTTCTTTTTCAGCCCCGCTATCGACGAAGTCGAGCGGAGCTTATAGTATTACTAATTGTCCGTCGTTCATAGCCATCGCCGTCGTCAACTTTACATTTTCGACTTCTTCTTAAAAACCACAAACTGTATAGCTGTGAAATTTTCTAGGAATGTACCTTGGGTGGTTCTCTCTCAAGATGTTCATTTAGTGTGGATATGTTCAATTGTCTCATTTATAGCGCATATTTTTGTCATTTTTGGTTAAAAATGCCATTTTCAACTTCTTCTTGAAAACCGCCAGCGCAAATGCCCCTCTCTCAAATTTGTTCATTTCGTGATGATTTTGTTCTTCAATTATCTAATTTTGATGAATATCTTTGATAAAAAGTTATACTTTCGAACTTTTGTTGAAAACAGCAAGTCCGATTGCTTTAATACTATAAATATTGTTCATTTTCTGATGATATCTTTTATGGCAGTAATTTACGACGTATATTACAACACATGAAGTAAACTGTGTCGCAATATAGTGTTACAAAATGACTTTCATAATGACAAATTATTATCACTCGTTTTTATTTATGACCTGTATTTAACCATTTAGTTTACGTGAACCAAGCTGG